TACTTTGCCGTCCACATGAATGCCACAAAATACAAATGAAATATAAAGTAGATAAATAAGTAACACAAAATCTAAGGCACTTTAAGCAGCAAATGCAGCAATATAATAAAAAATAATATATAAGAATATAACAGAGAATGTATGCTGTATGGGAGCAGCGCAGCAGTCATATGTAAATAATATGTCTGTCTTTTAAGCCGAGAGCTGCCGGAAAAAAATTCATTGTGCTATGCATAATGACAATAAAGAGTCTTGACTCTTGACTTGACTTTATTAGTTGGTCTTTGCACTGTGAAGGTTTGGTATGATGACAGAATAAATGTGTTTGATCATGTGTTTGTTCATCAGAGGAGCTGAACACAGTCTGTACAGGACATGACATGTAGGTCCCACAGGCTACAGACAGTATGTGAGAGTCCTGTTCTGCAACATCAACTGATTTAATTCCTGAAGTATTAAGTGACACAAAAGCCGTCGGTGAGCGGGACGTGAAGGTTCTTCCAGTGACATCTGTACAGAGGTGATGCAGACTAAATATCTGACAGACCAACGACAGCTGTGAATGTATTTAGGCAGTTCCATATCAAATCGAGCCCGTTCAGCTCAGATACAGCAGCAAACTGATCTGATGATGCCTTGTATGAGAAACATACCCAGATACATGTTCAGACCAAGTATGTGAATAACAGTATGGAGACTGACACATGGCAGCATGCTCTCACTTTCCTTGTCGTATAGAGGGACGTCATTAAACCTACAGCTGTTTGGACCCTGAGGAGAAGCTGAACAGTTTGGTTTGAAGACATTTTATTAAATCTCTGTGACGTCCTGTACAGACTGAAGGCTGGTGGAAAGCTCCTGAACTGTCCGTCTTAACTGTGGCTGTTTGTCACCACGCCCCTGCTCTCGTCCACTCACTAGGCGCAGTGCATATTGAATGAGCCTCTGCCACAGAGCTCAACATTACTAAAATAACCCCGAGTTGTGTCTTCCAGGCAGCCCTGGCCTGTGGTGTGTTTGAGTGGTGTGGACCCTGAACAGTGACTCACAGGTTTCCTCACTGTTTCCTGTGTTTTTTCCATCAGGATGTTTGCTGACTCAAAAAATAAGAAGCAACCTGACCAAGTTTTTGCTCTTACTTGCTCAAACTGACAACACAAAGACAAAAACTGTGCAGCGTTGTTCACAGGAAGCTGCAGCAGTGTGAACAGACAGCTCTGAGGGGTTTTGTCCCTGTAGTGGCTCCACATTCTCAGACTGTGTCATCCATATAAACTCTGCTCAACTTGAACTGCAGTAACCTCCTTTTCCCAAGAGCCCTCCTCACCATGTCTTTTCTTCCCAGCAGCCTCCTGACCATTTGTCTTTCTTTAAGCAAACTGAACTGATGCATCCCTGAGAGAAAAAAAGATAGGAAGAGGAGCTGATGGACCTACATAAGTTTAGAATCATCTGTAAACACGTTTATTCATCTGTTCACTTTACTGGCTTCTTCATGTAAATATCAAAGGCTGAACCTTCAGTTGTCTCAACCTTATTTCTGACATTTCAGCTACATGTCAACACTTAAATGTAGCTTCCACTGATAATGCCACTGTTGCGAGTCCTTACATCACCGACGGACACTTTAACTACTCAGTGTGGAAACTCACGGACTCCAGTGCTTTACGCCCCCTTTACACCCACACATCTGTTGCTTTCATCTCTTATTTTGAAACTCTGACTCCATTTGTTTTCAGGGATTACACTGACACTTTCAGTTTGTGTTTTTCAGGTAGCATTCATGTAAAACTCCTTAAAAAGTAAGCTAGTACTCCAGATCCAGATCCAGGTCCACACCAGGCAGTCTCCACACACCCACACACTTTAATCATCAGGTCTTTGAGCAGAAAGTCCTCACAAATACAGACACACAGGACCAAACACCCACAGTCTGTCATATGTGTATTTGATTACAGCTCAGTGACGACAGCCAATCACCACCCAGCTGCTGCTGCACCCACATCTGGATGACCGCTAACCACTAGCCTTTAATTAAAAAGCTTCAGTTCAAAGAATAGAAACAGATTTGAGTCCACACCCAACCTGACCTGTGACCTCGACTCGATCACAGCTCGCTCAGCACAGAGTCTGGATAGATTAGTTTCCTCATAAACTTAAAGGCAGTCATTTTATAAAAATACCTTTTCATTTCATCTTTAACATATAAATAAAGAAATACAACTGACAGTTAGGAGATACCAGGTTTTCAGCTGACAGTGTACGAGAGCCATGAAGCGCAGAAGTCAAGAAATACTGCTTGACACTTTTACTCCAGTACATCTAGCTGCAGTAACATTTGACAAGTAACAGAGTATTATATCCTATGTCAAATACTTTTACTGCAGTAAATGATCTGAGTACCTCTTCCCCAGCTGACATACAGTAATCAGATCAGCCATGAAGTATGTGAATGAGGAAATGCTTTAAAATAAAGTGAGTGAACCTCAGACAGGTCAGGATCTCGTTATCGCTGACGTCCCTCTATTCACAGCTCACCCTGCTACTGGTGATGGGAACCGAACTGACATCAGTCGCAAACACCACAGGACATCATGACAGCACTTCCAGCCTGTGTCTCTGTGCCCTCACTTTAGCCCCTAAACATGTTAGTGTCCGGGTTCGCTACCACTCACCTGTCCATGATGAGCCACTGTGTTTACCTGCCTGTGTCCGGCTGTCTCTCTCTCTCTCTCTCTCTCTGTCTGTCTGTTTTCAGTATCGGCTGAACTTTGCTCTGAATGTCTGGATGATGAGAGTGATGAAACTCACAGATCAACAAACTGAAGGAGGAGGAGCTCCGGTCTCTGCTCTGATGGTTTCTGGACTTCAGGTTCTGGCTCTGTTGGTTCTGAAGCTGCTGTGTTCTGCCGTCCTGTCCTTGTTCACACTGTCTGACTCTCGGTCTGTGGAGAGCTTTATCCCAATGGACTGACTCCTCCTCCACCCCCTCCCTCCTGTGGGACACAGTCTGACTCCTTGTTCTTCTATTTTTGGGGGGACCAATTCAGTGAGGGGAGTGCAGTGAAAGTAAAACATGTATAAATAAATGTAAATATTTTGAAGGCAAGATTGAGAAAATAAAATAAATGATTACAGTAAACAACAGAGAGATTGTTCTATGGAGAATAGTCTATAGTCTGTTGATAGCTGTGTACATTCCCCCCACCACTAACACCAGTGATTGGAGTGAGGCACTAAATGAACTCTACCAGGCCATCAGTGAACAACAGACAGTGCACCCAGACAAATTCCTCAACCAGAAGCTATGGATGACAGGTGAGGTTCACAGACTCCTGAGGGCTCAGAATACAGCCTTTAGGGCTGGCGACACCACAGGCCTAGCAACACCTAGAGCCAACCAGTCCCATGGAATCAGGGAGGCAAAACATCAATACAACTAGAAAATATCTGGACACTTCAGCAACACTAGAGATGCACAGAGTCTCTGGAGGGGCCTCCAAACCCTCACAGGCTATAAACCCCCACCTCTCTGCTGAACAGCCTCAATTACTTCTTTGGCTGCTTTGAAACACAAAACACACCAGCACAGAAGTCCACCCCTCCCCCAGGCAAACAGGCTGTCTGTCCACAGCCAGTGTGAAGAAGACCCTTTCCAGGATTAACCCACGCAAGGCAGCTGGACCAGATAACACACCTGGTCATGTTTTAAAGGACTGTGCCGAGGAGCTCAAGGATGTCCTCAAGAACATCTTTAACATCTCTCTGAGCCAAGCGGTTGTTCCCATGTACTTTAAGGCCGCCACAATACTTCCAATTCCAAAGAAGCCCCACCCAACAAGTTATAATGACTAATCGGCCTGTAACACTGACTTCAATTATAATGAAGTGCTTTGAGCGGCTGGTCATGCAGAACGTCAGGTCCATCCTTCCTCCCTCTCATGACCCATTTCAGTTTCCATACAGGTCAAACAGGTCCACAGAGGATGCTATTACTGCTGTTCTCCATTCAGTCCTCACCTACCTAGGTTCAAAGAACTCTTACGTGCGAATGCTGTTCCTAGACTTCAGTTCAGCATTCAACATAATCATTCCCCTGGAGCTTACACAAAAACTTGGACACTTGGGACTCAAAACCTCTCTCTGCAACTAGGTGCTGGACTTTCTAACAAGAAAGTCACTTTCGGCTTTTCCCGTTTAGGGGTCACCACAACAAATCGTCAAACTGACGACTCACATGTTGACGTTTGGCACGTGTTTTATGCCGGATGCCCTTCCTGATGCAACCTTGACTCGAACCCGGGCTACAGTGGCAAGAGCACTGCGCCTTAATCACTAGCCTACCAGGGATGGCTTGCTGGACTTTCTAACAGGGAGGCCACAAAATGTGCAGGTCGGCGGCAACATCTCCAAGACCATCACGCTGAGCACAGGGGCTCCGTAGGGGTGTGTGCTCAGCCCATTGCTCTTCACACTGCTGACCCACGACTGTGTACCAACCTACAGCTCCAACCACACTGTCAAGTTTGCAGATGGCACGACTGTAGTTGGCCTCATTACCAACAATGATGAGGTCGACTACAGGAGTGAGGTGTGCAAACTGGTCCAGTGGAAGTACAAGAGGTGGAAGTACAACTACCTCTAAAGCATCCACCACTGACCATCAATGGTGCTGTAGTGGAGAGAGTGAGCAGCAACAAGTTCCTGGGGGTGCACATCTTTGAGGACCTCTCCTGGACCAACAACACTGGCCAAGAAAGCTCAAAAAACTTTACTTCCTCTGCAAACTGAGGAGAGCCAGTGCCCCACTCCCCATCATCATCCTTCTACCTAGCATCATCACTGGCTGCATCACTGTGGTACAGAGGCTGTACTGCCTCCTGCAGAAGGACCCTGCAACGCATAGTGAAAACAGCCAGCAAGATCATCGGCGCCCCTCTGCCTTCCCTTAAGGACATAATAATCACCTTTATTGGCCAAGTATGTTACACACAAGGAATTTGTTTCCAGTACAGAACTGATGGCAGCCATCTGCAGCGCCTCAACCGATGGCCTCTAACCATCGGGGGCAACAAGGGGGTTCAGTATCTTGCCCAAGGACACTTCAACATGTGGACTGCCAGCACTGAGAATCGAACCTTCAGAAGTGTGAAATGCAGGACCACTAGACTGAAAAACTCTTTCTTTCCCTCTGCCATCAGACTTCGAAACAGCTGAGGAGTTTATTACCAGGAAATACGTGATGTACTGTCGACCTGTACTGTTTACATTCTCAGTTTCCACATGCATAATTGCACATTGACTGTTGACTGCTGCACATGCTGCTCCCATGCAGCATAATTCTCTTATTATATTTTTATATATTTTTATTATATTGTTGCATTTGCTGCTTAAAGTGCCTTAGATTTTGTGTTACTTATTTATCTACTTTATATTTCATCTGTATTGTGTGACATTCATGTGGACGGCAAAGTAAGATTTTCATTGCACAGGGAAACACGTTTCCTAACTGTGCATATGACAAATAAACACTTTGAACTTTGAAAGACAGACAGGCAGATTAGCAGCCTCAAGCGACTGGCTTGAGGGATGCAGGCACAAAGGTCATCGGTCAGTTCTGGTGACATCAGGGTTAAGCTGGAGGGAGATTCCACAGCGTGTGGAAGCAGAAATGACAGACAGAAATAGATCATGAGGAAAGAGCCCACATGAACCCATGGAGGAACAAGCAGAATGTAAGAGATCTGAGCTTACATAAACGTGTAACTGAAAATATATTTTAATTTATCATTACACTGAAATCAATGGAGCAATCCAGAGGCTGGGGAGTGGGCACCCCATATTCTCGTTACTGCACTAACTTTACCTACCTGAATTGACAGATAGCCCACTGCTTTACTACCAGAGTAACTTTTTATCATCTTACTAGGAGAAAATGTCTTGGATTGAAGGGACTGCTGCACAGGAGATGAAGCACTTTTTTGCCCCGAGTAGTGTCTGCAGGTCACCCCTTCAGGCTCCAGCAGTAACACAGGGTAGGCCTGTGAGGCAACGTGCAGGGTAAACAGAAGTTTAAACATGTTAACCAGCTCAGTGGTCTCCTCTGAACAGACCAACAGCAGTGTTCAGAGCCAAGACGGGACCCTCCATCCCTGTGGACATTAAAAACATTCAGTCAGGGTTTGATGAAAACTTGACACATCTTTGTCTCAGTTTCTGCATATTTTTATTTTATCTTTGAGATGTTCCCTACTCTTTCAATTTGTCTTTCGATTTCCTGTTCGAGGACCTCATCGGGTCACTCGACCATTTCCAGGAAATTCAAAGTTTTCCAGGAGGTTCAAGAGTTTAGGAGTCGACCAGAGTCCTCACATGTAGACTACAGTAACTCCATGTTCCAGCTGTTTGCTGTCAGGTGTTTTAGTTCAACACATAAAACTGAAACATCATCATGTTTTTCTATACTTGTGAGGTTCCTCATTCACATATTACATTCCAGGCCCCTGAACCCTAGAACCAGGTCTAACCCATCAAAGCCGATCAACATGTCCCCACAAAGACACCACACACAGATCTGATTTAAACTGATCACAGGTTAGTGATCTTAATATCTGGGTTATTGATTGGCGCTTTACACTGTCGGTTTAGTTGGTTCAGCGTGTACTTTTGTAATGTAGAGGTTACAAGGAGGAAAGAAATGAGCTGACTTCACCATTAAACAACGCATAAGTGAATGTCACAGTAGAAAATCTCACTGGCGATGCGTCACTAATCAATTAAAAGCAGCTAATTAAGTACCTCGAGGATACAGCGTTAGTCCAGAGAATTTAGGTTTTGTTTCGACTTGCCTGCTCCACCCTCCAGTTCGGTAGGGGGCGGTAATGCTCCAATACGTTGCTTTGTCAGACGACAATCAAATTTAAAAAAAGACGACGAAGAAGAACAAGACCCAGTTCCTGTTTCCGTCAACACACGTGTGTATGTAAGGAGAAAACCGTAGAGATCAGATTCCATTTAGATCCGGTCCAGAGTCCATCCACAATCCGGTGTTACGGTACCGTAGCGCAGTCCACCATGTTGGAACAGCTGGGTCTGATCGGGACGATACGGGACGAGGACCAGAGTCCAGAGGAACCCGACACCGAGTCCGACCAGGAGGTGAGTGTGTCTGGTGACTCTCCCACGAGAATCGAGCCATCCAGGCGGCGGGAGGTGAACCAGAGTTCGCCTGGAAAAAGGCAGATTCGCAGCCGTTTGATCCGGAAGGTTTTCAACTGTTTAATCAAACAGTTTAACCAATAAAGTTACAGAAGAGAATCATCAGTGCACACAGCTGCAGTTTATAACAAAATCCAGATAGCATTTAGCTTACAGGGAAATGTATTCTGTTTGATTTAATGTCTCGTGAAGATACGTTTTTACTGGAAATCTACTTTTATTAAGATAAAATTAAAAGTTACAAAAATGAACCTTTAAAATAAACAGAAACGTACATGTGATCATTTCTGGTGAACGACTTTGATTTGTGTCTGAAATGTTATGGGACTGCTGATAAAGCTTCAGTAAAGGACTAAAGAAACTGTAAACGTTGATTTACAGTTTCAGTCATAGTGTATTTCTGTGCTGACACTGAAGGCCTTCTTTTTGAAAGTGGAGGAGACCAAATAGAAACACATGACCATAGGTGAGAGTCGGAACATAGATCGACCAGTAAATCGAGAGCTTCGCCTTACAGCTCAGCTCCTTCTTCACTACAACAGACCGGTACATCGACCACATTACTGCAGAAGCTGCACCGATCTGCCTGTCAATCTCCTGTTCCATCCTTCCCTCACTCGTGAACAAGACCCCAAGATACTTAAACTCCCCCACTTGAGGCAGGAACTCTCCACCAACCTGAAGGGAACAAGCCACCCTTTTCTGACTGAGAACCATGGCCTCGGACTTGGAGGTGCTGATTCTCATCCCAGCCGCTTCACACTCAGATGTAAACCGCCCCAGTGCACGCTGGAGGTCCCTGCTTGATGCAGCCAACAGGACAACGTCATCTGCAAAAAGCAGAGACGAGATCCTGTGGTCCCCAAAACTGACTTCCTCCAGCCCCTGGGTGCACCTAGAAATTCTGTCCATAAAAATAATGAACAGAACCGGTGACAAAGGGCAGCCCTGCCGGAGAATTTTAAAGTAACAAAATATATAACTGGGGTGTGATGACACACTTGGCTCACAAGACGAGATGATGCATGATACTGACTTCACAAGACGATATTTTAACACAATTTTTATGAAATCTTCATTGACAAAATATATGACAAACAATTTTCTTCTACTGAAAGTCACAAAAGTGCAGGTGCATTTTGAAATGTTTTGACTACTCATGTTGTAACAACTGTCCCTTCAGTTCTAGTCTGTTTGCTCTTTTAACTTGTATATATTTTTTGTTTTTATTGCTGTGAACATCGGGGGCCACTGGGCTGAAGTTACATTCCTTGTACTTTTGATACACTTGGGGAGGCGACAGTGGTTCAGTGGGTAGAGCAGTCGTCTCCCAACCAGAAGGTTGAATGATCGAATCTCTGTGCCGGCAGTCCACATGTCGATGTGTGTTTGGGCAAGACACTGATGCTTTATGCTTAATTTCTAATTTACTTGTGTGAATTATCACATACAATAAAAGACAACATGCAGCGCTGTCAAAGGTTTGGCCACACACTCATCCGACCGGCTTGTCTCCTGTAGGATTTCACTAGTCTCTTCAGACCTCAGAACTGTGCATGAACTGTGCACAAGCTGTTAATTTCTGACTGAAGCTGCAGTTTCCCACAGAATTGCAGCGGTAGCTCAGGGGGCGAGGGCTGCCATGCTTAAAAAAA